GATTCAGTGAATCGTCTTTTCATCCAAGCATTCATGTCTCTTTTTTGTTTTGTGTTTTGTTTGTTTTTCTTTTTTTGAGTTGGAGTCTCACTCTGGTCGCCCAGGCTGGAGTGCAGGGGCACGCTCCCTGCCACCGCAGCCTCGACCTGCTGGGTTCATGTGATCCTTCTGCCTCAGCCTTCCAAGTAGCTGGAACTACAGATGCATGCCACCACGCCCAGCTAGTTTTTGTGATTTATTGTAGAGATGAGGTCTCACCGAGTTGCCCAGGTTGGCCTCGAACCCGCAGGCTAAGGCAATTCTCTCACTTCGGCCTCTCAAAGTGCTGGGATGACAGGCTGAGCCACCGTGCCCGGCCTATTTCTCTTTTTAAAAAATCCTATTTGTGGCCAGGCTCAGTGGCTCAGCCTGTCATCCCAGCACTTTGGGAGGCCAAGGTGAGTGGATTGCCTGAGCTCGTGGGTTTGAGACCCACCCAGGCAACTTGGCGAGACCTCATCTCTACAATAAATCAAAAATTAGCCAGGCATGGTAGCGTGTACCTGCAGTTCCAGCTACTTGGAAGGCTGAGGCAGAAGGATCACCGAAGCCCAGCAAGTTGAGGTTGTGGTGGCCGGGAGCGTGTGCACTGCACTCCAGTCTGGGTGATGGAATGAGACTCCAACTCAAAAAAAAAAAATCCTATTTGTGACCAAGCGTATCAACTCCTGACCCAACTCCCCCAGCAGAGCCCCACCAGGCCAAATGACTCTGTCCATCCAAATAGCCTACGTGCTTTCATGGTCAGCAGCCACCCCATGTCACATGCATCTGTGGGACACAGACCCTGTCAGCGCTGGCACTGGCCTCAGACCACCAAGATCCGCTGCTTCCCAGCACGGAGCCTGGGGAGACTGGAACCTTCCCCCATGCCTGCACCTGCATGTCTATAAGACGGGATGAGGCCCTCCTCATGGAGTGGCACGAGTCAAAATACAATGTAGGTGGGTCGAGGGGCGCCCACCCTCTGAGGCCCAAGGGCGAGGTTCTGTCTGTGGTGCTGAAGAACCTGACCCAGAGGCACCAGAGGCAGAAAGTGTGGGCAGATCTTTGTCCATGAAGGCAGAATTGGGGAGAAACCAGCGGGACCAGGGACAACCCCTCCCCACATGCATGCTCCATGGGGGGCAAGTAGAAAGGACGGATGGCTCGACGGACATACCACACAGAAACAGACACACATATGTGCACACACACAAACATACACAGGTACACAAACACACAGCACATGCATAGACACATACACATGCATACACACACATGCACTCATACATGTGCATGCAAGATAGACATATGCACAAAGATAGACACACACATGCACACACAGTACATGACCACAGACACACGTGCATACACACACATGCACACAGACAGATGCACAAAGATACACACAGACACTTGCACTCAACACATGCACTCACACACAGAGACACACATCACATACACTTCTCTAAGGATGGCCTGGAGCACACCTGCCCCGAGATGCTCTAAGACCAGTAAGTTCTAGCAGGAGCCTGTGGTTCCAGCTACTTGGGAGGCTGAGCAGAAGGATCACCCGAGTCCAGCAGGTCGAGGTTGTGGTGGCCGTGAGTTTGCCACTGCACTCCAATCTGGGCAATGGAGATTCTGACTCAAAAAAAAAAAGGAAAGTAAGAAAAAAGAAAATGTTGCAGGTTACAACCTGCCCTAGCCCCCCAGCCCCATCCAGGTGTACAGAATCACAATAGAAGCTCTGGGGTGTGGGAGCCTTGCCTTATAACTTACCTGGTCAAAATCTCGGCTCAGTACCTCCTATCCACCACATGCTGTCTTGTGTAGAAAACTTGGATCCAGGGCCAGGCACAGTGGCTCACACCTGTAATTTCAACACTTTGGGAGGCCAAGGAGAGAGAACTGCTTGAGCCCAGGAGTTCAAGACCCGCCTGGGCAACATAGCAAGACCTCTCTACAAAAAATTAGCTGGGTGTGGTGGCATGCACCTGTAGTCCCAGCTACTCGGGAAGCTGAGGCAGGAGGATCACCTGAGTCCAGGAAGTTGAGGCTGTAGTGAGCTGTGATCATGCCACTGCACTCCAGCCTGGGTGACAGAGTGAGGCCCCAATGCAAAAAAAAAAAGTCAGGTGCAGTCATCCCTGTAATCCCAGCATGTTGGGAGGTGGAGGCACGAGGACACAAGGATTGCCTGAGCCCACGGGTTCAAGACCAGCCTGGGCAACATGGCGAGGCCTCGTCTCTGCAATAAATTTAAAAAGTTAGCCAGGTGCGATGACTCGCACCTGTGGTTCTAGCTGCCTCAGAAGGCTGAGGCAGAAGGATCACCTGAGCCCAGCAGATCAAGGCTGCAGTGGCCAGGACTGTGCAACAGAGTAAGACCCCGACTCAAAAGAAAAAAAGAAAGAAAACTGGATCTAACACTTTCCCAAGCTACTTGAGTACAGGACCCTGTCTCTCCACACACCTTGTCAATATTCCCAGGACACACACTAGGGACACCCTTTGGGAAACACCCCCAATGGGTGTGGCCCTCAGCTGGGCAGCCAACCCTGTGGAGGGTGCCCCTCATCTCGTTCCAGGTCCGTCACACCCTCCCCACCCCAGCACCTTAACTGTGTTCTGTCCCACTTCCTGCCCGCTATGTCCCAGTGAGTAGCAGAGCCACTGGTAGAAAGCAGGTGCCCAACCGGCACAGACAAGTCCATGGATGTCCAACCTGGGGGGAATCGGGATTCATGGCTTCCTAACCTCCCCACCCCCTGCTTTCCTGGGCCAGCCTCTCCATTACTGAGAGGAATGGCGCGGGCCACACAGGCCCCTGTGAGAACCGAGTCTCATAAAGCCACAGGGCCCTGCACCCGGGCTAGCACTAGGGATGGGAGATGGGCCCCCATTCCTC